TTTTTTTTTGCCAAAAACAAAGCTGAAATCAAGTTTAGCTTAAATACTGGAGGAAGGGCTCACAAAACTGGAAAGGTAGAGGAAGAGCAGCCCACCCTCAAAGCTATTTGAGCAGTTTAACTTAGTTACTAAGAACCCGTTTTACTGGTTGGAGAACACTGTCCAACAAACAAATATTCTCTCCTAAAAAAACAAGGCCTACATTGTTGGAAAAGAAAATGGATTTGAACTGTTTTACCTGTGTGTTCTAGTCTCCCTTGCTAATATATATATATATTTACATTATAGAGGTGTAGAGTTTTGAGAGAACTTAAGGAGAGACACGCTAAAGACTGTGCCTCCTGTTCCTTCTGGTACCTATGAAATGGACAGGATGGAAAAAAATGATAGGAGGAAACTGTCTGGATGGGCCAGGGTGCTATTATCTTAGCTCTGGAACTCTTAGTACATCTCATTGGCTCTTAAAATAGACCATTTGCTTATATATTAAGGCAGTAGGCCCAGAGTGTAATTCCAGCTACTCAGAAGACTTGGGACAGAAGGATGGCAAGTTCATGGTCTGCCTGGATGACAGCATAAATTCAAGACCATCATGGAAACTTAGAGCCCATCTCAAATAAAATACAATAATAAAACATTGAAAGAAAAAAGAAAGAGGGTGAGAGGGACTCAAGTAGTACTTTCTCAGCATGTGTGATTTTCTGGGCTGGATCCCTAGTACCGCTACCCATGCCCCTCAAGAAAATGCTTGTGTTTCTAAGCCATTGTTTTTGATTCTAAGGACTGATACAGGGCTGGTGCATGCCAAGCTTGTGCTCTACCACTTAGCTGCATCCATTATCTTGGGCTTTCTGAAGCACACACCTATCTTTTCCTAATACAGAGTAGCTTCCAATTTATATGACCCAGAAACTCCTTGAGCTTTGTGTCCACTTTTATGAAGGAGTCCTTGTTTACGGAAGTACCTTCTAAATATATTACCATATTCAAATGTTTTGATGAATTTTGCACTCACTTGACTTCTAACATGATCAAGATACAAAACATTTTCCACCCCTGTCTTACTGACCCCAGTTGCTTCTCCCCAGCTCTGCTCAGCAACTGTCCATCTGCTTTCTGTCACTACGGGTCAGATGTGTCTTCCTAGAGCCTTACATAAATGGGATCGTGCAGTATTTACTGTCTTTTGTGTCTGGTTTCTTTCATTCAGCGTTCTGTTTAAGATTTCATCCATGGATGAAAATGTCATAATGAAACCCATTATTTTCATGCTCACTTGATAAAAAGACCCGAGGGTCTGGGAGGAGCTGGGGGAGTGGTGAAAGAATATAAAATATGTTGTATGATAAATTCAAAAAGCATTTGTGGCTCTTTTACAGTAGCACTCCATAATAGAGTATATGGACACCCCACAGTTTTCACAGATGGTGTATCTTAGGGTTGCTTCCACTTTATAGGCTATTATAAAGGGGATGTATGTGTGAATAAGCAAAGGAAATTATTTCTTTTCCTGCCTCTGTGTGCCAGTGTTGTCCTTTCTTGTACCCAGAGCTGGCTCCTCTGTAGTTCTGTTGTATATCCCTTTTTGTGTATAAATACAGGTTAGTTAAAAGTTAATACTGGCTGGGCATGGTGGCACATGCCTTTGATCTCAACAATTGGGAGGCAGAGGCAGGTGGATCTCTGTGAATTCCAGGGCAGCCTGGTCTACAAAGTTAGTTTCAGGACAGCAGGATTACACACAGAGAAACCCTGTCTCAAAACAAAGAAACAAAAAGTTAATAATACCTGAATGAGATGTCTTTAGTTAACCCTACCTCACATCATATACCTGAATCTAAGCATGAATATAAGAATGCATACTAGGACAGTGGAAGACAGTTGTTTCTGGCACAGAGATATGAAGAACAGTATAAACTCCCATATGCTTCCTATTCCGTGAGAATTGAAAGAAGGCTGGCTTTGGATCCAGTCAAGCCTTTAGATCCAAGACTGGCCACTTATTACTGTAAGTACCTCTGTACCTGGATGCCACTGAGCTTAATTTTTTTTTTTTTTTTCAAACCTGGGAAATAAATAGAAAACCACAGAATGTTTGTTTTTTGTTGTTCCCCCCCACCCCTCAGTGTTTGTTGAGAACCATCTCCTAAGCCCTGGGGACCATGCTTAGATGCAGCATTGAGAAAAACGGCCTGAGCTCATCGAGCTTATTTATATTCTAGACTAGGGAGAGGAAAATAAAAATCTGTGTTATGCTGGGTGGTGAAGTACTGTGAAGAAACATGGAGAGGGGGACGGGGACACAAAGGGCTGCGTTTGTAATCCAGTCTTGGCTGAGAGTTGCTTGAAGCCAGGCGTTGATCTCTATCTTGTAGCATTTATCATGGTGTCAGCTGGATCTTAAGTGCTGCCGCAGTGTTTCCTGAATGGAAGAAGTGACTGAGTAAATGCCAATGTGGGGTTTATCTCATGAAATCATGGTAATATTGCTTACCTGGGTGCTTTTACCGGCTTCTCTTCAGGTCATAATTATGTCAGCGAAAACTGTGCCCTTCTCTTCTCCTTGCTCTTGATGGATCTTTAGCTCTCCCTTATCCCCTTTTCTTTCTTAAACCGATAATATATTTTTCTTGGAAACCAGAATTCTTTTTAATGTACCTTTAAAATAACAGATTCTTGATTTTTTTTTTTTTTAAGAGTACAAGAATTCTTTCAGGATTTTCCCAAATAAGTAAAATAGGAAACCATTTGACAAATGACTTAGTATATCAATTTTTAGAACCTAAGGTATTCTACCGCGTGTGGAAAACTGGAATGCTTATACTACGTGCAGAAGCATGTTTTAGAGTACTTTTCAGTGTCGAGGAACTTTTGAAGGATCATTTTATGATACTGAAGTATCATTAAGATACAAAAGGATCACTTTATGGTCCTTCAAAAGTAATAGTTCATACATGATGGTTTCGTGGATTGGAATTTCTATGTAAGGGTTACACAGTCTGGCAGACTGAGACTAGTTAGCTACAAGATACAAAAATTACCCTGGGTATTGGAAAACAACCTACTTCCTGTCATGTTTGGTAGACAAATTACATAATACATTTAAAAACTTGTTATGGATGTCTGTATTTTGCAAAGCTTACTAAATGTTGCAAAGACAGGTACCCTGTTTACTGCTCTATCTCCTTTATATAAATCTCACCACAAAATATGCCCTCAGTACATATTTGCTTGACTTTTACAAGGATTTTTTGCTTTGGTGACAAACTTCATCGGAGCAAACTACAACTCAAGTAATACTATGGCTCTGCCATTACCTCAGCTTTAGATTTGCATTCCTTGTCACTCATTAGTATTTGGGACTGAACCCAGGGCCTCCCTCCCCCATGCTGGGCAAGTGCTCTTTCTTGTCATTCATGATTGAACAGTGTAGTTGAGGGGTTGTTTTCTACTCCAATAGTCTGATGCATATGATCTCCACTTCAGCATACTATTTCCTGAGTTACTGATGCCCTCCTGTCCTGCATGCAGCCTTTAAAAGAATGCCCACTTGAATCTGGGTTCTTACAACTGCTCTAACACCTCTGGCTGCTCAAACTGCTCCTACTTCCACCAAGCGATTTTGTTTTTGTTTTTAAACAGAGTCTCAGTAGGTAGCTATGGCTGTCCTGGAACTCACCATGTAGTCCAGGCTGGGATTAAAGGCGTGAGCCATCAATCCAGACCCTACCACATTCTTCATTTAAGTATTTTACTCATTCTGTTTCTGTACTCAGGAGCTATGACAGCCCTTTACATATGACAAATACCCAGCAGCTATTTAATTTCTCCTACAGCACACCGTTAGCCCATGATTTATAATCCAATGGAGGCAAATCTGTTTTCTGAAATGTCACCCTTGACCCATGTCGAGCAGTTATTGTTCTGAGTAATTTTTATAACTATTCTCCCCACTGAAGGCAGTTTATCATAAAAAAAATTTCAGCTATGTACTGATGTAGTAGAAAGACAAGGAGCAGTTGGTTTTTCAATTCCGGTAATGTCTAAGTATTGCTTCCTTATGACTTCAATTCTTCACACTTCTGCCAAGGCCCGACCGTGTAATCCCTTCCAAATGAATAAGGTAGGAACGATAATGTAAAATTCTAGCGCCTTCTACTTCCTGAAGCATTCCGGTGAAGATCTGCTTAGCAAAGCGTCTAATCTATTATCTAAGGGGCTATATTTAGGTTATCGGTTGGTGTTTTTTTTTTTTTTTTTTTTTTTCCCCTTAAGCATCAAGTTCAAGCCTGGGGAAATGCCCGGGTGCGGCTAAAGGCGGTGCAGCTGCGAGCTGGGCCAGGTGCAAGCCCCTCAGAGCTGTTTTCCGTCTCTAGTCAACCGTTTCCATATAAAATCCCGCCGGTCTGCGCTCCGGCAGGGAGTTAGCTGCAGCGCTCCTCAATCACAAACCAACTCCAACGCATGCAAGGCGGGTCTGGCACCCTTTCCAAGGTCCGTCGGGGTATCACCCGGGATCTGAGCCGCCGGGACCGACACGAGCAAACGCTCCGAGGGTCCCAGTGCCTCGGCAGCAGCGGGACGGTCCCGACGCCAAGGCGCGCCGGAGAGCAGCGAGGGACACGCAGCCCCGAGGTATCTTCCGGTCGCAGACCTCGAGCAACCGCAGCGCGGAGGCGGGAGGGAGCCCGGCAGGGCGGCCGGCGCCGGGGTGGAGGGAGCGCGGAGCGGCAAACGGGGCGGAACGCACCCGGGGCCGGCAGGGTTCGGCCGTCGCGCTCGGGCCGCCTTCAGAACGCTCCCAGCGGCTTCCGCAGGCCCCGCCCCCGCCGGGGTTTCCCCGCCGCCCGTCTCATTTGCATGGCGCGACCCTCCCCCGCTGCCATTGGCCAGCGCCGGGCCCCGCCCTCCCCCGCTCCGCCCCCGTCCGCGGCCAGGGTTCCGTCCCCCGAGCGCCCGGAGCGGCGGGCAGCGGGCGGACTGTTAAACCGCGGCGGCGGCGGCGTCAGCCGGGGCGGGAGCGGGGCGCGCTCTGGAGACGAGGCGGCGGCGCCCCGGGTGGGGGGAGGCGGGCGGACAGCTAGAGACCGCCTGCGGCGGCCCCCACCCCGGCCGGGCCCAAGGTGCGGCGGCGGAGGGCAGCCAGGGCGCCCCAGCAGGCGAGTGGCCGGCGTCGCAGCGGCGGGCAGAGGGGGGTGGGTCTCCTCGGCGGGGGACGGCGGCGGCGGCGGCGGCGCGGGGCGGGCGGAGCGGAGAAGACCGCCGGGTGGACTCGCGGGCTCGGCGTCCGCCGGGCGGTCCCCTTGCACCCCGACTCCTCCCGGCCGTTGGACTCCGGGCCCCCGGCACAGGACCGTGCTTCGGGGCAGGGGTCGGACCGCAGCCAAATTTAAACGGCTAAACCTAACAGCCTTGGCGGACGCGGCGGGGAGGGGAGGGCGGGGCCGGGGGCGGGCCGGGACGCCGGTCACGTGACGGCGGGGCGGGGCTTGGCAGGCCTCCCTTTTGTTTTGGCCGGCGCGTGCGCAGAAGGCAGAACGCGTCTTCCTCCCCCTCGGGTCTGGGGAGCAGCCGCGCGTTTGCGGCGGGGGTTTCGGGGAGCCGTCGGGGACGGCGGCGACGTGGACGTGTTGCTCCCTGGGGGGGGGGGGGGGGGGGGGGGGGGGCCCCGCAACCGGGGGGGGGGGGGGGGGGGGGGGGGGCCCCCCCGGGCCGGGGCCCCCCCCCCCCCCCCCAGCTCTGACTGGTTTACCTTCGGGTCCCCGGGAAGGCCCTTGAGTCCCGACTCGACGGGACGGGCTCGTCAGCCACGTTAACTCCCCCCCCCCCCCCGAACCGCGCCTGAGCGCGGCCAGCAGAACGGGCAGGGCTTGGGGGCGGGAGAAGCCGCTCTAAAAATACTGCGACGGCGGAGCGGGAGGGCGCGCAGGTGCGGGGCGCGGATTGCTGAAGCGGCTCGGTGCCGGCGGTGGTTGATTCCCGCGGTTTCCCGAGAGCCGGCCGTCTCCTTGGCCAGTCGCGGCCTCGCCGACACGTCTGTTTCCTCCAGTAAGCTGTTTCGTAACGTGGTCCCTGCCCCAAAAGAGTGTAACGAGGATCACGTGCCCCGAGTTAGCGACCGTAAGTCTCCGCGTAAGGCGGTGGTGTAGCAGGACGTCAGGCCCCCCCCCCCCCCCCAAAAGACAGAGCCAGCTCATTTTAGGCCGTGAAACAACCTTTGCTTTTCGCCAGATCTGTTGCACTTTTTTGTTTCTGGGCGTGTAACCCAGCTGGCTTCGGAACTCGCTGTGTAGTCCAGGTCCCTGTAGAGCTGACTCGAGGAGCGTGTGCCGCCTCCTCTAACTTTTGCTGTTAACTTTTCACCGTTTGAAAGATTAATGTCAAGGTCGGCTCTCGCTGCTTCATGGTATCGATCCGCAGAGATTATCAGTATTTCCCTCTTGCAGCCTTTATAGGATAATTTTCTTAAATATGAAACTCTTATTTAATCTTGGCCAGTACTGTCACAGACAAGATCTTGGTAATAGGTGTCTTTTCAAATAACAGCTGCTAAGTTTTTTCACAAATTATTAAATTGCCTGGGAAACTGTATTTCTGTTTTTTTTTTTTTTTCAATCAGCTATGTGTCATTTTCCTTAAACTAAGGATCATACATTTTTCAGTTAATTTTAAAGCAGAAACAAATATACCTTGAAAAATAATTTTAATAGCTGTTTAACATTACATATAAGAGTATATTTTAAGTTTTTCCTATTGGCAGATGTTTGGGATTTTTCTAATGTTTTGTGTAAGTTTTATTACAGAAGTCTTTAAAAATAATATAATCCTCCTTCCCCTTTAGATATGTAGGAGAGGAGTTACTGGGTCCAAGTTGTGTTTTATATATATGTATATATATATATGTATGTGTGTGTATATGTATATATATATATATATATGTATATGTAGGTATATATATATATATCCTTTCATGACCTTCCCAACTTTGAGAGTGTGGTATTAATTTACTCATAGAGGTATGACTGTCTCTTGTCATATCTTTGTTCATCACTCAGTGTTGACTTTATGTGGAAAGCCTTGTTGTAATTTGCATTCTGTTCCCATTCCCCCACCTTCCACAGACAAGTATGTGGCATCTATTGGGTTTCCTAACTTACTGTTAGGGCCTGGAGAGAAAGCTGTTTCATGTTTACATGCAGTGTATCAAATAGTGAATGCAAAATGAAGACTAGCCAGTTGGCTGCTAATGTTTTTTTTTTTTAAACCTGTGAGAAGTCAAGAAATTGTCTTTCCCTTTTTTGTCTTAAGAATACATAGTTGATAATACAGTAACTGACTGAGTACTTATTCCTCAGGGCTAGGTCTCACTGAGCTTATTAGTTTTCTGTTAAATGTCCTGGTAACTTCCCATTGTCTTAAGCATAGAGTAGCCAAAATCTTCTCTTTTTTTCTGCTTATATCATTACTTACACAGTTTCACAGTTTACTTTTCCAAGGAGCTAATGTGAAATTTTCATTCTGATCATTCTAATTTCTCTCACAGGCTCTGTGTTAGAGAAATAAGATGGATAGTGTCTAATGTTCTTTGCTTTATTTCCAGTTGTTGTTGGCAGCCCCCTTGTTACTGCCTATGGCACCTTTTACCACCCTTTAGACTATCATGTAAACCTTATGAACCGTAGGCCATTCTTACAGTTTTCATGATGTCTTTCATGGTTTTGGATATTTCTTGTTCATTTCCCTTTAAGTCTGTCGTTATTTTATTAGGTGTCAGTTGAAGAAGAGGAAAGCTGCTTCCTTTAGGTCTAGAATTGTATTTAAGGTTGGAGTTTATCAGATTGTTACAGCAAAAAATGAGGCTACTTTGTGCAAATGACTGGGAAATTAGCAACCAGTTTATGACTGATGTGTGTTATGTCTTTCATCTGTTCTTAAAGTCTTTACTTCATTAGAGTACTGTAATAGAAAAATCATACAAAATAACTCATATAATCTTTCATATTTTTGTTCAGTATGTTATATTTAGAGAAAGAAGTTACATAATTTTCTAACCCCCACTCCCCCCGCTTTCTCTTAAATGTACTAAATGGACATTTCACAGAATTTTGTTTCTTTTGTAGTCAAGAAAGATAAAAACAAAAACATGCTAGTAAAAATGATATTATATTTGCCAGTTGATAGTGTGTAATGAAAATTGAAGGTTAAAGTGGAAATTTTCTTTTCTTTTAAAGACAAGCTGTCACTATGAAACCTGAGTCAGCCTGGAAGTCACACTGTAGTTAGCTTTTTTTTTTTTTTTCTCTTTCATGTTGGGATTTTCATGTTCCTTAGCCACAATGGAAACTTTTAACACTAAATGTTAGTTATGTATTTAAAAAAAAACACTTATTTCTATATTGATGCAAAAATTCAGCTATTTATAACATTGAAAAGTTGTTAAATTTTTAAATCGTTCATGAACTTTCCAATGTTTCAGGTTATTTTTCAGCTGTATAATACCCATAATTGTTAAGTATGTTTTTAGTAGTTTAAAAAAACAAAACAAAAAACCCACACAACCCCAAGTTGTCATGGTAGTAAGTCATTAATCAGTGTTGAGCTGGGTGGCATTAAATTGCCAAAATGACTAGACTAGGAAAACGTGTGGTAATGCACTTTGAAGTGTAAATTTCTGCATCCAAATTTATATACACAGGAAAAACTTCATTTGTATTCTTATGAGTCACACACTTACAGTGGAACAGTAACAATTCTCCAAGTATGAGCTGTTTGATCTGTTATGTGGCCACCCAAGTGGCTTTATCTCTAATTAAATTCCTTTAGTCTTCAAAGAGAATTCCTTTTTAGGCATAGTTTTCAAAGTGGAAGAAGCTCTTGCTTATAAACACAGACTACAAAGTTGCTGAGCTAGCCATATTCAGCTCATGCCAATTACTGCAGCGTTTCAGTACGAACTGAGGCTTCTCCTAAAAGAATGCATAAAGAAATCTGGAAATAGGCTATATTAATTTCTGTTTTGTTTTGTTTTGTTTTGTTTTGTTTTTTTTTTTGATACGTTAAAATATTTTAAAAAATAATGTGTATGTCTGATTGCCGGTGCGGGTGTGGGTTTGTGTATGTGAGTGCAGTGCCTGGGGAGGCCAGAAGAGGGTGGTGGGTCTCTTGGACATGGATCTACAGGTGGCCTTGGGTTGAATTCAGGTCCTCTGCACTGGCAGTGTGTGCTCTTAACTTCTGAGCCAGCTCTGCAGCATCTAGTTCCTACGTCCGTGGGATACAGATTCAACCAAGATGAGCTCATTCTCTTTAGTGTTTTATATTTTTTTAATGTATTTTGCCTTTATAAGAACAAATTAAAATTTTTGAATTTTCTCATATTTTTAGTAATGTTTCAAAGCCCAACGTGGGCCAGTGAGATGGCTCATTTGGTACAGGTGTTTGCCACTGGTGATCTGAGCTGGATCCCTGAAACCCACATAGTGGAAGGAAAGAACCACCCACTTCTACTAATTGTCTTCTGACCTCCACCCTAGCAACTCCGTGCCCCCAACTAAACATGTAAAGACAAAAAGAGAGTATCCCACATTTCGTTACCTACTTTTCTGTATTAGCGTCATGTGGGCTAGCTTCATAAAATATTTAAGTCATGTATGTGAAAATAAGACTTGGCTTTCAAATGCTATTGGTAGTTTTTTATTTTTATAGGTGAATGTGTGTCCTTTACTATATGCTTAAGAAAATGGGGTTTATCAAAATTACAATTAAAAGTAAGCTTAGTGTTCAGGAGTAAAACTGGAGAGGCTATTTTTCAAATATAATATGGAATGTTTGTCTGCATTCTAGAATATTGAACATAACAAAAATCTGAAGTAACATAAGGAGTAGGAAATCAGATTTTAAAATTCATTTTTCAGGAGGAACACTGATTACCTAAATTATCAAATTCAAGTATGAAGGTAGCAAGACTAGATCATATTTATTAATTTTCTTCAGGAAATGTCAAAAATCATTTGAAATATGTAAGTTATTTATTAACTTGTAAAGATCTGATTACTAAGTATCTAAACCAACTCAATAGTAATGGTCTTGGCAGTTATCCCACTATGTAAATGCAGGTTTTGAAAGGTAACTGCTTTTGCTGTGTTTCATGATCTCTAGA